TCAGATAATGTTTTTTTTCTATTGCAGTTTTCCACATTGGCCGTATGTATTGAAAACTCATTTCTTGAGAACTACTTTTTTGTGTTGAGTTTGTTGTTCTTACCTCGCACCTCCAGTGAGCGCGATTGGTGACGTGCCAGGTAAAAGAAGTTCAACATACAAGGAACTCCTCTACTTACGAGCATTCGACTTACGAACTTTCAGAGATAGGCAGTCCTCTACTCACGACGGAGATGCGTTACGACGACCCCATCGTAAGTCAAAAATATCGTAAGTCGAAGATGGCCTAGCCTACCCAGGAGTCTTAAAGAATGGTGATAATTTAGCAAAACAGAGCAATTTATAGTACCGTACTGTATAAACTATATACTGTATGCATTTGTTAATTACAATACTGTATTGCGCAGTAAAGTAAAAAAAAAACAAGGTAAATTCTTAGCCTACCTATATGAACTGCAATTTAATAGAAAGTTTTTTCAGGAAACAATCCTATCTGCTATAAAAAAAAACTTTTAACATGCATTGAACGTATCGTATCGTGGTAACCTTAAAATTAAATCGCTAAAGCTACGTATCATACATGCATTGAACGTATCGTAACGTATCATATTGTACTCTACTCACCAAGATCGTATCTCGTACACTGCTGCGTTTGCCTGCCGCGGGAAATTTAAAATAAATCGAACCATCGTAATTCGTGGACTACCTGTATTTGTTATTTTCTTTGAACCTATGGACGTGACTTTACTGAACAAACCTGTCTGTATGTCCAGTTACCTGTCGTAGGTTCAACTGCCGCGCAATATATGGCGGTGGTGGCATCTACATCTTCAGAATTAATCATTTAGGTTTTTTGGGTCAGATCGCGTTATTTATAAATGTGTCGTAACCCTCCACCACCCGACACGGCCAAACAGTAAAAAATGTATCACGTTTTTTCAAAGGACAAAATCATTCTTCTTTAGCCCACCGGTGTGTTGAAGAGAAAATCAACAGCATTTTAAAATTTGAGTAGTACGACGTTTCGCTGATAATTACAATCAGCTTCATCGGGCAAGAATTGTGAAGCTCGATTTAAAGCTTTCGTGACTGCAGGGATTCATCTTCTTGGTTCTTTCAGTAAAGTCACGTAGAATGGAAATAATAAAATAATAAAAATAAAACATAATATGTTTTATTTTAAGTTTGCTTGCTTGCGTGCTTGCGTGCTTGCTTGCTTACGACCGTGCAAATCTTTCGGTCGTTTTTTAACCCACTTCCCGTGATCCAATCGAGCTGACATTTTCCACACAGACTCGTTGTGCGTGACAATTAATTTTCGTGAAAAATGTTTTCCAAAATTTTACACTGTTAAGGGAAAAGTTTTTTAAATATTTAATTACCAATTGCTTAATGGTGGCAGACAATCATCTGACCCATAGGTGGCAGCCATCTCAAGCCAGAGGACGAGAGGACTCTAGTCGCCACACATATAAAGGATTTAGAGTAAAAAACTTTGTTTTTACGGGTGAATTTTTTTATTATTTTATTATTTCCATTCTACGTGACTTTACCGAAAGAACCAAGAAGAAAAATGGTCAAGCTCTCCTGTTGCTCCCGGCCTTAAATAGAGCAGCACCAGGGTGACGTCATCATTTAATTCAATCTGGTGCAGTGATTCGAGGCAAAGAGGGGGGGGGGGGTATTGTAATTATATAGATTGGTAATCATTCAATTGTTATTCATTGGTATTTGTTTCCCTTATAAGGAATTGTAATTGTATTTATTTAATAATACGCTTCCAGGCCGCACTAAGCCTGTAGCTGTCAGAGCGTTTGAAGTTATTTCTGTTCAGAATGTCAAGAACCAGCGGGCATCTCCATCTACAGGAGATTATACATCTTTTAAAGCCATTCCCTTTGTTTAGTGTCCATGCCGTGCAACACGTTTGGAATCGACAGCAGTAAAGTTGGACTTAGGAACAACAAACCAAACACAACAAAATACCGGATGGTTGTGGATAGACGCCGCATATTGTAGTGATAATAGTAACAAATTCTAGATTTGAAGCTTTCGTGACTGCAAGGATTCATATTCTAAGGTTTTTTCGGTATCACTTGATACAGCTATCGTGCTGTGACGGTTCCACCTGAAGACGGAAACTTGTGTTGCCTCCGAAACGTCGTGATTTTTATTTTATTTTTATTTTATATTTATTAATTTTACTTTTTTACCTACGTGACTTTACCGAAAAAACCTAAGAATAGTAACAAACTCGTTTTTTTTTAATGTCGCGTGAAACTTTTAGCGGTGGTGCCTTGAAGCCACAGGTCCTACCTGCACGTGCGAACATCTGGGCGTGGTGGTATGATTCTGTTAGCCGACGCTATGGTCGGCTAACAGACAATGAATGAGTGAAATGCCTCGTTTCGTCAAGCGTGCCAAGTGGCCAGGAGGTGGCAGCATAGGAAATGTTTTTGTGATACCCCGAAGTAGGGGCGGCTGGATACAACTGCATTGGGGCCGTCCATAAATGACGTCACACACCTAGGGGGGGGGAGGGGGTCAGACATTTGTTACGATGTGTGACGAGGGGGGGGGGGGTTGAGAAATGTGACGTCACATCAAAATGCGCAACTTTAAATAAATACAGACAACACGTTCTACTTAATTAAATAGACTTTTTCATAAATGTTTTCTCCTACAACATCAGTGCAGCGGCACATTAAATACGTACTACAATGACGATAGTTTAAAGCGATTTGAAGCATGTTTTATATATATTTTTGGGGGGGGGGGGGCAAAACTTTGTGACGTCATATTTGAGGGGGGGGTCTGACTTTTTGTGACGCCGTGTGACGAGGGAGGGGGGGTTCAAAAATCGTTCAAAATCGCGTGACGTCATTTATGGACGGCCCCATTTGCAAAATGTGATGATGCGACTTTCATCCGTAACCATTTCTCAAGCGCTCAGTTTAAACGTCCAATGGGTTGTCGAGGGACCATGTGTCGTCTGGGACTGCTCTTGCCGTTGTTTTGCTGCCTTGCCCACGCTTGGAAACCGAACATTTATATCATGGGACCTCCTTTGCCAGTACCAAAATGTGAGAATAGGTAGCTGCTCACCCCGTGTTCTCATTACTCTGATAGTGCATTGTCTTTGTGCCTTTTGGTGTCCTCTGGTCTAACACCGTTTGAGACTAGGCTCAAAAGAAAGCTGTCTCTGGTGTGGACCAATCAGTTTCAAAGACAATGCTACATAGTATCAGAGTGTGGTTTTTTTGCATTCTGACCACAAGCATTGTGGTTAATGCAGACATGATTCCTTGTATAAGGTTTCAGTTTGGTGTTTTAACATCTTAACACCTGTGTTGTTGCCAGAAAAAAGGGGAAAACCTATTCTTGAACATATATACTTCATTTTATTCATTTATTTTTATTGATTCGCTTTTATTTCTCATTCTTTGCACTCCGATGTTTTTTTTAGTATTGTTTGTTGTTGTGAATTTCTGTCCCGCACCTACCGGACATCTGTGACGAAGAGCTCCATAGCCCATTGGATTTTTTCAGGATAAATAAAGATTCTGATTCTGGATGGGTTTTTCTTCAGCAATTCTGGCTTGACGTGGAAAAAACAAAACACCCCCCACAAAATCTGTCAACGCTGTCTTATAAGAGCAAAATATGTAGTCAGCTGACGTTTCAGGTGATGGGGTGCCACGTTGTCAAGATGTTAACCACCTTGCCTGGTATACAGGAGGTCGTGGGTTCGATCCCTAACCTGACGCCAGTTTATTTTGAGTTTGCGTGTTTTCCCCGTGGTCGTGTTGATTTTTCTCCGGGTCCTCCGGTTTCCCCCTCCACATTTAGAATGAACATCACGCGTTTTGAGCATTTGGCTGCTATACATTTCCACGCGATAAGCCACTTCGTTGAGCTATCATTTGTGATGGACAGTTCGCTTCTGAAAAAGAGCTACATAGCTCAGTGGGCCTCACCTGGTAAAATAAAAAATAGTTTAGCTTTAGGTTACTTATTCTGTGATGTGAACTTCCAAAACCGTTGTCGGACACAGGGTGTTGCACATCTTGCTGTGCAGTTCCAAATAGCAATTGATTACTCTGTAATCTTGCTGCAGCGAGCACACTTGACGTGGGGGAAGGCCTTCATCCAGCAGTGGATTGACCATGGCTGACGACGATGATAGTTTATATTCTTGGTTCTTTCGGTAACGTCACGTTGAAGGGAAATAATAAAAGAATAAAAATAAAACAATACAAAATCTTTCAAAAATGTCTTGCTGTGGTTTTCACACCTGATGATGATTGCTTGTGTTGCAATCGAAACGTCGTGAGAATTGTATTGTTTTATTTTTATTATTTCCCTTCTACGTGACTTTACCGAAAGAACCAAGAATATGAATCCCTGCAGTGACGAAAGCTTTAAATCGAGACGATAGTTTAGTTGTGTCCATGCGCTGGAACGGATGAATGATGAGTGGCGTCTGGGGTGAGGGGGTGAATCTCTTTGCTGCGAGCAAACAGGATTGTTGTGGGGCCCTCCTCTGTGCTGGGCCCAAGACAAATTGCCCCACTTGACCCCCACCCCCCTTCCCCCACCGGCAGAGGTCGCAACCGGGTACCCGATACCCGTACCCTACCCGATACCCGGCTACCCGTACCCGGCCAGGTACGGGTACGGGTAGACCGTGAGTCACTGGTGAGTAACTGTTTGTCACTCATTTCCCAACGTCTTGTCTGTTCTCACAATTCAAGTTCCTAGAATCAACCCACCCGCGACTGCAACATGGCTTCATCCCAGAGGTCGCAATCAGGTACCCGATACCCGTACCCGGCCGGGTACGGGTGTAGGGTACGGCCAGGTACGGGTACGGGTACCCGTTTGCAACCCTGGTGCGGCCGGGTACGGGTACGGGTAAGGAATCAAAACCCGTTTGCGACCTCTGCTCACCGGGCAGCCCCGATCCTACGACGCCAAGCGCTGCGAATGTCGCTCCCCAGGATGAAGCGCAAGTCGCACTCCGCCGACCCTGTGCTGGGACTCAAGGTGACACTGCCGCCCAACAAGTCCTCGCCGGATCTGCACGCCCAGGAGGACGGGCTGCCGGCGGAGGGGTCAGGCGACTCGGGCGGGGTCAGCCCCGCGACCGCCCCGCGGCTCGCTGACGACGGTGCCGCTCAGGAAGCCTCTCCCGCCTCCCCCCCTTGCAGCGGTGAGGCTCGGCGCAGCGAAAAACAAAATGAAAAAAAAATTTGCGGCATTTCTCCAGCCGAGGTTGAAAGGGTAAAATTTGTCGCGGCTCGCCCCGTCCGTCTGTTTGTTTGTCTGTTTGTTTGTCCATCCGCCGGGCCGCGTGTGTGTCTTGTGTGCAACATGAGGTCATGGTAATAATTCGCGTTAATGATAACGCTGTCGAACAAATTAGTTTTGTTCCTGGGTAGTAAGTGTTATTTCCTAATTGCTTATGCCTCAAACGCACGGAAAATGGCTGTAATTCCCCACAAACTTTGCTTTTGTGGCCAGGACATTGATATTTAGAAATGTACCTATTTTCAATGAGAAAACGGGAAAATTTGTGTCATTCCTTGACATAAAGTCAGAAAAAACAACATATTAATCAAAATTGACATGTATTTATACTAAAGTAATACAAAAATGACTACAAAAGATTTAGACACCAAGGCGCACTACCACAGGCGGGACTGGCCACAGCGGACCGAGTTCTCTCGAAAAACGACACACTTCTAAATCTTTTGTAGTCATTTTTGTATTACTTTAGTATAAATACATGATAATTTTGATTCATATATTGTTTTATTATGACTTTATGTGAAGGAATGACACAAATGCACTCGTTTTCTCATTGAAAATAGGTAAATTTCACAATATCACTGTCCAGGTCACAAAAGCAAAGTTTGTGGGGAACAATAGCCATTTTCTGTACTTTTTAGGCATAAGCAATTACGAAATAACACTTACTACTCAGGAACAAAAAATGTGTTACATAGTGTTATCTGAATCGGTCTTGGGCCTCCCCTAGGTCGACTCAGCCTCAAATGAGTACCTGGTGCAATGTGTAAACATCGCCACTGGGGAGACAAAGGCGGTCGGGCGTGGTGCCGGGCACCCACCCCCTCGTGTGCCGTGCCGGCCTTCATAGGTGTTTGCCAACAGTCTGTTAAGACTACACCGGGAGACTTTTGTATTTTCTGTTTTTTCCGGGAACTGTATTCTGATTCCTTTCTTCTTAATGGGAATTGGGCTAACCTTGCCGACACACAGCACCTTCCTGTCCGCTGAAACGTTGTCGAGACTCATTTGAGGCATTCCCAGGTAAGCGGTTGGCATTGCAGCCTTGCAACGATTACCAACCAAAGACAAATCGCTCCCTGTCTCTCCTCGTCAACTGCGGGCACAAGTGCTGTTTAGCGAGCACCTCGGGCTGGCATGGCGCTTATCCTGTGGTCAGCACCACACCCTTGCTGGTCTCCTCCCCCACTGCTTGTTGACAACACTGCTTGTTACTCTTAGGTTTTTTTCGGTAAAGTCACGTAGGTAAAATAATAATAATAATAAAATAATAATAAATGAAAATAACTCAATTAAATCACGACGTTTCGGAGGCAACACAAGTCTCCGTCTTCAGGTGGGACCGTCACAGCTAAATTTACTGTATCAGGTCCCACTTGAAGACTTGTGTTGCATCTGAAACGTCGTGATTTAATTTAGTTATTTTCATTTATTATTATTTTATTATAATTTTTTTACCTACGTGACTTTACCGAAAACATCCTAAGAGTATGAATCCTTGCAGTCACGAAAGCTTCAAATCTACAACACTGCTTGTTGACAACACTGCGTGTGCATGCACAAAGACAAAGCCCCCGCCCCCGCCGAGATAACTTTGACAAGACTGTTGGGGAAAGTGGTTGGTAGCGATCGCCTCCGCAGACCGGTACGGCCTGCGTACGGGGAAGGGCAGCCATGGGGGTGGGTTTGCTCCACTCCGCAGGGACGTAGCGGGGCTCGCTCTCATACCCCATCGGTGGAGGTTGGCGAGGCATGAACTTGTTTGAGGGTGCACCAACCACAACAGGTGCATTCCCTCGATTTGCGTAAGTGATACGTTCTTCAGAAAACGCGTGCGAAATGAAATGTCGTCATTCGGAACGGCTTTCCCCGTTGATTTAATAAAAAAAAAATTGGGGCGTGTTTCAGACAGTCATTACAACCCTCCTGCTAATCTTTCCACAATGCGAAAATAATAGAGAACGTGATTTTTAAATCTTGACTTAAAGCTTTCGTGACTGCAGGAATTCATATTCTTTTGGTCTTTCGGTAAAGTCACGTCGATAGAAATAATAAGTATAACCCGTAAAAACAAAGTTTTTCACTCTAAATCCTTTATATGCGTGGCGGCTAGAGTCCTCTCGTCCTCTGGCTTGAGATGGCTGCCACCTATGGGTCAGATGATTGTCTGCAGTATTAAACAATTGGTAATTAAATATTTAATTTGTTTTCCCTAAACAGTGTAAAATTTTGGAAAAAAATTTTCACGCACATTAATTGTCTCGCACAACGAGTCTGTGTGCAAAATGTCAGCTCGATTGGATCACGGGAAGTGGGTTAAAAAACGACCGAAAGGTTTGCACGGTCGTAAGCAAGCAAGCAAGCACGCAAGCAAGCAAGCGAACTTAATATAAAGGATTTAAAAATATCACAACGCAAGCAATCATCATCGCCTGATGACGATTGCTTGCGTTGCGATTGAAACGTCGTGATATTTTTATTTCTTTACCGAAAGACCCAATGAACGTGAATTTTCGAGTGATGTTATAATACCATTTTAAAACGAATAATGAACCTTTCCAGGGGAACTCGCCAAGAGACGTGCTGCATGTGGGAATGACTGGCAAGGCGATGTGGAGGCATTGCTGTTGCACTGCAGGGTCACCGTGACGCTGTCGCGGATGGATGACGCAGCCTCCTTTCCGGGTGCTTCTCGTTCGATGATCTCATGGCGCGTGCCGTCGTGAAATTTCTCCAACGCGGAAATTCGAATGCGTTCATCGGAAAGTGCCCGTCATTTGTCAACCGCGTTAACGTGACATTTCGTAAAAGCGAAGATTTCGTATATCGAGGGATACCTGCATTCTGGAGTGAGTGAGCGCGCACGACACACCGTGTGTGTGTGTGTGGCAGAAATATCCGCCAAATCGCCCAGTTAACACTTTGGGTCTGGCCCATCACCTCCAATCGGCGAGCCTTCGACACTTTCACGTGGCCCCGTAGTGCACCTAGCCTGGCACAGGCGCTGTGGCGGTGTCACCGACACTCGGTGGCAAAAGGCGGCTGTAGTTGTTCGCAGAATTTGCACAAGCATGTACATACGTGTGTGTGTGCGCCTTTGTGGATGGTGAATAAAGAAAGAGCTTTTGAATTAACTGGGTCATCGGAGCTGCAAGGTGGCGAGGAGACTGCAAAGTTGAGTGTTTTCCGATGCAGGGGTTTTCTCCTAATACTTCAGATTCTCCCTCTCACGTCATTAATAATTACAATCTTTGAATGGACTTAGCCAAACATGCCAATGCAGCACTCTCCTGACAAAAGAGTCTTCGTTTCAAGTTTCATAAATTAGGTATAGCCCTGTGAGCCATGCGGCTCTTGAGTAGGGTGCAACCGCAACAAACAAAATATGAACGGAGAACATCTTAAAGCGACGACGCGTAACAGAAACATCCTGGATAAACCAGCAAATCTTCCAAAAAAAAATCCCGTACTCAGTGAGGCTCTTCGGAGTAAATACGTGGAATAATGAATCCGGACTAACAATAGCATGGCACACGCGGCGAGCATCACGCCTAGCCGCCTTTGTCTGACATTTCATAAACATACGCTGTGTGTGTTCTAAATGTCAACAATTTTTGTACGCATGCCATCATTCGTGTGCTATGGCTCTTGACACCCTTGCAAAATGAGGTGTTCTAAATAAGACGCCGTGGTGGCGAGATGTTAACTACCTCGCCTGGTATACAGGAGGTCGTGACTTTGATCCCGACCCTGATGCCTGCTGTATATTACAGGTAGGAACAACAGGTTCCACACTGCCCACCAGGGATTATTTGTCTGTCTGTCGTGCATAGCCACGCCCTCGATTTGTATTTCATAGAGCACCACGTGACCCGCAGCCCCACGCAGCTTGCGCCGCGTGACACGGATCGCACGAATTCGCTGTCCAACCAAGTTCCTACCTGCCCACTATGAAGGAACGTGTGTGGAGTTTGCATGTTCTCCCCGTGGTCGCGTGGATGTTTTTACGGGTCCTCTGCTTCTTCCCTCCACATTTAGAATCGTGCATTTAGAGTATTTGGCTGATGTCAATTTCCGCGAGCCACTTTGTTGAGCTATCATTTGTGGCCAGGTAAAATAAAAAAAATGTGTTCAGTTTAGTTTTATGGGGCTATCGACGGGAAACACTCTAATGAATGAAAATAGTGTACCATACCAGATACTCCGATACAGGAGGCCCACACAGTGTCAATCGGTATCGTGATGTTCAGACACCAATTGTCACTGCGTGTGGGTGCCATTGAGTTTAACCATACTTGCACTCGTGAGCGTGCCGACCGATTTCGCCATCACTCCGACTTGGCAGTCCGTACAGGAAGACACATCTGACAAAAACAAATAGGACTCCTCTTGTAAATATGTGCAGAGTGTGTGTGTGTGTGCCTCTGTGGATAGTACGACAGCAGATTGATGGAAGCTTTTGTTAATGAGAAAAAAAATACTTCACAAAGTTATCCCCAAGTGAATCATTAACACCCCATTAAGATTACGCCTTCAATACATTTCAATGCAATGGCAATTGCAGTGAGCACATTTGAGTTTTTGTTTGTCGTTTTTTGGTGTCACACTAACAAAGCTTCAAACGCATATGGGATCCCTGTAGTAGTTTAACCTTTTTAAAGGCGGCGGCGGGGGCGGCGGGGGAGGGGGCATGACAGTCAATGTTAAACAATCTTTAAAATACGTAACGTGAAACGCCAATGAACAGAATGAGTAACGATGCGATCGGCTTATGTCCGTCGTGAATTTCTACTCTGGCTCTCTCACGCCCTGCGTTGCATGAGGGATGCCCGTTGTTTGTATTAATCTATGAACGTACCACAGTTTTGTGACATTTTATTTGGAACGATTTAGCAGAGTGGA